TTGATTGGTTGATGCTTTGGGACACGATAACTTTTAATTGAGCTAGAATGTTCAAACTTGGTGTATGTGTTTATTAGGTCAATGCCTTGATGGAGTTCGAAGATGAGCATTTTCCGCTTAGGGTAAGCAGAGATAAGCAAATTGATTGGTTGATACTTTGGGGCACGATAACTCTCTTCCTAATTGAGCTAGAATGTTCAAACTTGGTGTATGTGTTGATTAGGTCAATGCCTTGATGGAGTTCGAAGATGAGCATTTTCCGCTAAGGGTAAGCAGAGATAAGCAATTTGATTGGTTGATGCTTTGGGACACGATAACTTTAGTTCTAATTAAGTGAGATTGATGAAACTTGGTGTATAGTTTCATTACAGTAATACCTTGACTAAGTTTAATAATGAGCATTTTCTGCTCAGGGTAAGCAGAGCGATACGCAATTTGATTTTTATATGTGTCCTCTAATTATTTTCCTATTTCGGCGGGGGACATCAGCCTCACTGTTGGCTTGTTAGTTTATTAATTTATGGCCCCAATCAGGTATCAAAACACTTCATTTGTTACGTAACACCTATATAGGTCAACGTGCTCAAACATTCTGATCAGTCAACCATGCATGACAAAGATATTACAATACTTTGACCCATTTTGACTGTATATACAGGATACTAGTATTGTATTTAAAAAAATGATTAGAAATATAGACAGTGTTATTGATGAACTATTTAAATATTCACATCACGTCCCAAGTAATTATATTGTCTAGGTTAAACGGGAGCAGGTCTTTTCATCCCAACCTTCGTTCAGTAATCATAAGTTTATGGAACTTTAAAATCTTCGCTGAATCCACGGGACAGATACAATACCGGGCTGATTTTTATTTTTCATTTCGGCTTTAACGGCTCGACCTTCAATGCATACTATCAATTAAAGGTCAATAGTCAATATGTGAACTTACGCGTTCCATCAAACAAAAACAATGTCTAAAATAAGATCCCCTTCAATAACCAATTGTCACCTTGTAGTATTGTATACGCAATAGGATTTATTCAAGTCATTCTTACTTACCGAATTTTATTTCAAATTATGTGACTATCAAACAGTTGACCTCACTATCAGAGAACAATTGACTAAGCTGCTCTGCACGAACTATTCGTGAAACAGTGAGACATGAAGTCTGAAATGTATGGGTTGACATTTGAATTATATTATGGAACAGGAATCTGGTTATGGTACAATTTGAAGACGTAGTATAAACGCCAGGTAGTCGTAAGAATAGAAGACAAGTCTCAAAAAATAATTACGTGTCAATTCAGCCGTGTGTGTTTCTTTGATCTGTTATATCACGGGACAATTCTGTTATTGCATAAAAACGGCTAGTTATAACTTATTAGTTAAAAGTTCTACAAGGAGTGAGGATCTTCGGTTGTAACTTGTAATCGATTTAAATTTAATGAAAGGCTAAAGTAATTATAGTTTAAATATATCATATTTGTGTGTGAATTACCACTCTTTGGTTGGTTGTGTCATATTATTTAACAATATGGAAATTTCTATTTCATGGATATTACTATTGAAGGTAAGATGCTCGAGTTACGCATCGTTTTTATTGAAATGTGGTCGTATATTGTCGTCGCCCACGTCTTTCCGGAGTCTAGAGGCTAAAGTTAATATCTGATTGACTTTAAATTTATACACAGTGTTTTAGGTCATGCGATGAAGAATCCTATTGATTTTCAGCGATTTCCAATAATTACTGCCAGAGTTATGGCCCTTGATCACTTATACACAGTGTTTAAGGTCAAGAGATGCAAAAGCCTATTGATTTTCAGCGATTTCCAATAATTATTGCCAGAGTTATGGCCCTTGATCACTTGAGGTCATGAGACGAAGAATCCTATTGATTTTCAATGATTTCCGATAATTACTGCCAAAGTTATGGCCCTTGATCACTTTGAAAAATCTTGTGATGCTCTAGAGGCTAAAGTTATCATCCGATTGACTTCTGATTGATACACAGAGTCTAAGGTCTTGAGACGAACAAGTATATTGATATTCAATCAATTTTGATAACTTGAACAGCTAAATCCATGATAGTAAATGTTTTGTATACTAAACGTTAGCATGGGGCAGAACTTTTTAAAAACCAATCAAATTCTAATGATTTTCTGATAATTACTTAACCGGTCATTGTTGACTATAATCACCACAACGTTATAAAAGTCGACTACAGCAAGAACCTTTTTTATAAGCCGCATTTGAGTATTTAGTTTCATATTTAACTGATATGGCCACACATGCATGTCGGACAGGAACTTGTCTTGTCAAGGGCATTGAGGAAAACATGTCTTTGTTCAACATTTTTTGACGAAAAACGTAATTTAACGATGTCGGAAACGTTAAAGACGCTCAAAGTGGTTGAAATACTTATGAATTATTCCGACTTGGATTATATCGATGACATCAATTTTGAAGACGATATTTCTGATGAAAAGGATTTAGAATGATTTGCAAATTATAGATCAACTCATCCCCTTCAACTTTTTGTCCCCTGCCTTTCGAAGAAAGCAGGGGACTATTAAAATGGGTCTGTCTGGCTGTCCGTCCATCCGTCTGTCCGTCACACTTTTTGGGACACAATAACTCTCCTTCTAATTGACCTAGAATGTTCAAACTTGGTGTAGGTGTTTATTAGGTCAATGCCTAGATGGAGTTCGAAGATGAGCATTTTCTGCTTAGGGTAAGCAGAGGTAAGCAATTTGATTGGTTGATGCTTTGGGACACGATAACTTTAGTTCTAATTAAATGAGAGTGATGAAACTTGGTGTATAGTTTCATTACATCAATACCTTGACTAAGTTCGATAATGAGCATTTTCTGCTCAGGGTAAGCCGAGCGATAAGCAATTTGATTGACCGAGACTTTGGAACACAATAACTCTCCTTCTAATTGAGCTAAAATGTTCAAACGTGGTGTAGGTGTTTATTAGGTCAATGCCTTGATGGAGTGTGAAGATGAGCATTATCTGCCATGGGTAAGTAGAGATAGGCAATTTGATTGGTTGATGCTTTGGGACACGATAACTTGAGTTCTAATTAAGTGAGAGTGATGAAACTTGGTGTATAGTTTCTTTACATCAATACCTTGACTAAGTTGGCTTGTTTATTAAATTATAGATCAACTTATCCCCTTGAACTTTTTTATTGGTGTCAAGATTGAAATAGGCATACAAAATATTTCACGTCGGCCTTTATTTAGCCTGACCACTTGATGTCATGACGTCAAACTGACGTCGACTGGTTAAGGGTTAATGAGTTGTTACTCTTAATCAGATTTTAGTGTATTATAAATGTTTCATTACTGAAAAAAGTAAAAATATGCGACAACTCTTGTTGACTGCCTGGACGATTTAGCTGCTGTGGGCGTATGTTTCGTTGCCTGGAAACCTATCTTTATAATTTTAATAAATGTGAAACGGCCAATGTGCATCTTTGTATTTCGGTTGTAGAAAAATAGTTTTGACTGGATTTACTTTCTATATTCCCGTGATGTTCAAATTGGGCTCTGACTGCTGGGTATTTATAAATAACGACATAACATTCGCTTAAATTTCTGTATGATAAATTAAGGTCCATATTTTTATTTCATTAAATGCAACTTTATATATATATATATATGGTACGCAATACAAAAGACGCATAAGAGAAGCGTAGGTCATAGCCAGCACACATGCCTATCTAAAGACCTGTCTTTAATTATACAAAGACGAAGGAACAAATGAATTAATAAATATACACATGATGAAAATTTAGCTTGCTCGCTATATACCCGGGGATATTCAAATTGTGGTCTCGGTGAGGTATATTTATATATAACGACATAGTATTCACCTTTTCGTACTATAGACCAAGGCCCACAATTGTATTTCATTAAATGCAAATTTATATATAAGTAGCATGACAGTATAAAACGCGTACAGGTCTGATACAAATACAAAAGACACACGAGAGAAACGTCAATCATATAGTATGCACACATCCATATATAAAGACCTGTTAAAGACCATCGTAAAACACACATCGCACGGTAAAACAGTTTTACTTCCCGGATTTTGATTTGACACGCGCGTCTCAGATAAAGCCTGTTGGTCCTTGATTATACTCCTTTTGGTGCAGTTATCGCAACTAGCGAGAAAACACGCCAATTAAACAATACACAGCATTGACATTCATTTTGTACTGGTCGGTTAATTAACACACCTCTACAGAAAACGCACCATTGCACAGTTTTTCACCCTAGAGTTAATTAACTCACCTCTCAGATAGTTTCACACCCTTGTTAATTAATACACCTTATTTACAATTTTAACGTGGTAATGCCAAGTAATACTTAGTCGGGAAATCAATAACAATCCAGACATAGATTTCTATAAGGTCTATGCACAGATTGACCTCTTAGTAGTTCTCAGTGTTAATATGTGTCATCTATTTATTTGGGGATTCTGCGGAGGCCATCAACCTCTTGGCTTGTTAATAATTTAGATAACATTTCATGCCAAAAGAAAGACCTGCAAATAGGCAGATTAAGCTCTTGCATAATGTATTTTTGATTAATATGTGTCATCTATTTATTTTGGGATTTCGGCGGGGGACATCAGCCTCACTGTTGGCTTGTTTGTTTGGTTTTTTTAAACGGCACTTTTATGATGGTGGGATGGGATGGGCATTCAAAGTGCGATATAATGATACTGACATATGTGATATCACAATTAATTTCATATCTGATCCCATTAATTCATAATAACAATTGACGTCATGCGGTTGGGGGTGGGGGTATTTCTCTGTTTAGAAAGCTCAGTTTGTATGTATACCTACATAATTTGGAGAAGATGATGGCATCATACATTGTCAACAGTTAAATTTCCTTAACAGGAACCTCTCAAACCCCCTTCTGCAAAATTCCTGGATCTGCCCCTGTAACCTATTCATGTTTTTTTTTTTTTTCAGGTAAGAGATATGTTTTCTACAGCCAGAAAGAATGCACCATGTATTTTATTCATTGATGAAATAGATGCTGTAGGTAGAAAGAGAGGGGGGAGAAGTTTTGGGGGTCAGAGTGAACAAGAGAATACTTTAAATCAACTTTTAGTTGAGATGGATGGTATGTAACAAAGTTATGCTTACTAAAATGATTGCTTTCTAAATGCTATGAATAATATTTTTGGAAAGTGCATCATAATAATAAATAACTAGAACTGTGATGCTGCAATGAAGGTTTTTACCGGTGCCACTTTATCCTTGAACTGACGTCACTTCTCGTACCATTGGAAACATTAAATAGATTTCCACATGAGCATTGTTATAAAATGGACACAGCCAATAAATCATGCAATATCATTTCCATTTATACAACGAAGACTCGACATGATGACATTATTTGAATTGTATTACAGAAACTGCAATTGTCATTTGCATGACAGAAAATTGATTAAAATTTGAACAGAATTAATTAACCCTTTACAAAGCATTATTAATTACAGTGCAAAAACTCTCAAAAAGTAATACTAACAAAATTGGTTATTTCTCGGCACGAGAAGACGTTAGAAACACTAATTTTTTTTATGTCTATATGATAAGATTGATTCATACTATTTGTCCAATGAAATCAAATATAATTTTATACGAATAATACTTAATTCAAATAAATATTTGTTTTGGAAGCTAAAAATACAGTTTTGCCAAAATGACATTACTTCCAGTGATAATGAAAATGTTAAACAGTTTTAGGAAATCGTCAATGGCATTAGGCATCACATGGTGAAAATTTTTTTGAAAATTGAATAATAATTGACACTTTTGTGGACCAAAAACCTTGAAAAGTGAATTGTAGAAAATCATCCACAAGATTTTTGGCCCCCACCATAAGTGTCTGTCCGTCAAAAAAAATAAATTTACATGGACTTTTCGAGAAACAGGCGTCTAAACTTGCTTGAAATCGTAAAAAAACTTTTAATATGTTCACACGTCTGAACTGAACCCTTGGAACAGAGCCATGCCCAGTTTTTTGTGGCATCAATTCTTAACAGATCCTTTTGAAACTTTGCATACCTATTCCTTAGCTTGTGGACACTCTTAGAGGACACAATTTTGATCAGATTATGATAAAACTTGAAATACATGGTTATAACCCAAATATCTTGTTTCCTTTTCATATTCGCGCAAATCGGATCGTAACTTCCTAAGTTTGAATTTCGTGAAAATCAGACCAAAACTGTAGGACAAAATGGCCGCCCCTTGTACGCAAATAGTGTAAAATATGGTATATCAAGGTTGTGGACCCTGTAGAGGTCACAATTTTCATCCGATTTTGATGAAATTGGAATGCATCTTTATACCCCAAAGATCCTGGCTCCATTTGATATTCACGCATATTGGATCGTAACTTCCTGAATTATGGCCCCTGATTATACGAAAAATCATGCTTTTAGCTTGTGGTCCCTCTAGAGGTCACAATGATGGTTGAGTTTGAATTTCATGAAAATCGGACCAAAACTGTCGGAACAAAATGGCTGCCCCTTGTACACAAATAGTGTAAACATCTGGTACATCCAGGTTGTGGACCTCCTAGAGGTCACAGTTTTGATCTGATTTTAATGAAACTTGAAATGCATGTTTATAACCCAAAGATCTTCGTTCTTTTCGATATTCGAGCATATTGGATCGTAACTTCCTAAATTATGGGCCTTGATTGTACGAACAGTTGTGTTTTGAGCTTGTGGATTCTATAGAGGCAGACCCGTCAACCCCTCAGAGCTGAAATGCAGTAGGGTAGTGTAAAAAGTGCAGTAGATTTCCAAAAACGCGTAAATTCGCACTTTCAAGGGTAATTAATTTAGAAATGATACACTGAACTGCAGGCCCAACAATACAAAAATTGCATTAAATGGGTAATAGATAAAATATACACAAGCAATGGTAACCATATCTACAATTATTTATGTAATTAAACCAAAATTGAATATGTAGCCTACAAAAAGAAATAATTAGTAACGTAAAAAAAAAAATAAAGTAAAATTACCAGTCCAGTGTACTGGCAGTAGGCCTACCACTTACCATACCACTTTTCTTTTGTTTTAACTTAGCATGATTTTAAAATATCCTTGTGACGTGTGTTCCCCATTCCGAGAGTTTTTGTCAATATGTTTAATGTAAGATTATATAGTATTTCTACATTATGAATAGAGGGGGGGGCGCGTAAAAAATTAGTTTTGTAAACGACTGAATATTGGTATCGATTTAATCATGCCCCCCATGGCGATTATCCTCTCAATGTACGGGATTTTTTACCCCTGTGATTCCGTAAATCTGCTTTTACATTTATTCGAGAGAGTCACTGAGAGTGTTCCATGTAAGTCAGTATCGTCGAGACGTATTCCCATCTTGTTATGTTGCATTCGAAGTATTGTATTAGATGCTGTACGTACGTACGCGCGCAAACGAAAATGTCAGCCATTGCTGCCGTAAATTGGTCGCTATTTGTTTAGTTTATCGCTACACATTTTAAGAGTATTTGGAACACATGCCAATATTAATATATCCGCTTTATTAACTCTAAAATAGGTAGAAAAGAATTTGAGAACAAATCTCTTAGCTAAATTACACCTTACAATATCCCAAATCGATGTTAATAACCGAAAGTTGCATTATTTATTGTTTACATGTTTACAGTTCCATAGTTTTGGCGAGAAAACTAAAAAACTCTTTGTTTGAAAATGCGGTAGAAATCTATTACCGCGCAGTAGAGCGGTACATGAGGCCTTTTCGCGAGACTTTACCGCGTGATGCGGTAGAGTTGACAGGTCTGTATAGAAGTCACATTTTTTATCCGATTTAAAAAAAACAAAACGTGTGAATATATCACAGTTATACACTAATGATGGTTGAGTTCGAATTTCGTAAAAAAATCGGACAAAAACTGACAGACATAATGGCCGCCCTTGTACGCAAATAGTGTAAAAATATGGTATATCAAGGTTGTGGACCCGCTAGAGGCCACAGTTTTTTATACGCCCACATTGAAATGTGGTCGTGTATTGTTGTCGCCTCCGGTGTCCACAATTGCTTGTGGACGCTCTGTAGGCTAATGTTAATACCCGATTGACTTTAAATTTATACACTGTGTTTAAGATCATGAGATGAAGAAGTCTGGTGATTTTCAGCGATTTTCGCTAATTACTGCCAGAGTTATGGCCCTTGATCACTTCAAAAAATCTTGTGGACGCTCTAGAGGTCAAAGTTAATATCCGATTGACTTTAAATTTATACACAGTGTTTAAGGTCATGAGACGAAGAAGCCTATTAATGTTCAACGATTTTTGATAATTACTGCCAGAGTTATGGCCCTTGATCACTTTGAAAAATCTTGTGAAAGCTCTAGAGACTAAAGTTAATATCCGATTGACTTTAACTTTATACACAGTGTTTAAGGTCATGAGACGAACAAGTATATTGATTTTCAATGAATCTTTATGACTTGAACAGCTAAATCCAAGTTAGCATGGGGCAGAACTTTATAAAAACCAAACAAATTCTAATGGTTTTCTGATAATTACATAATGAGTTGTTACTCTTAATCAGATTTTAATGTATTATAAATGTTTCATTACTGAAAAAAGTAAAAATATGTGACAACTCTTGTTGACTGCCCGGACGGTATAGCTGCTGTGGGCGTATGTTTCGTTGCCTGGCAACCTATCTTATCCTATTTGGATGAAACTTTAAATATATGTTTTTATCATAAAGATTTTGTTCCTTTTGATAATCACACATATCCAAATGTAACTCCTAGATTATGGCCCCTGATTGGTCGAAAAATCGCATTTTTAGCTTGTTGATTCTCAAGAGGTCACCATTTTTTTTCTGATTTTAAAAACCATTTAGATATATATCACCATTCCACCATAATGAAGGTTGAATTGGAATTTAGGGAAAATCGAAATGAAAGTACCTGACACAATGGCCACTCTTTGTACACAAGTTGTGTATAAGTATGTAATACAAAGGTTACGGATCCTCTAGAGTTCACAATTTTTATCTGATTTTGATGAAACGTAAAACTTAACTTTACATTTCAGACCATAACTTTCTGGATTATGGCCCTGATTGTACAAAAAATCGTTTTTGTTTTTAGCTTGTTCTCTATCCATCGCTTGCAAAATGTGGGAGTATCCTGCCTGGCAGCTGCTGGTTTCTTGTGTCTGTGTGTTGCCTACAGGCCACAATTCTTAATGGATCGTCTTGGAATTGGCATATATATTCCTTATCACCTAAGGGTGGCAACTATTGATTTTGGTGCTTGACATATGTATTCCTTATAGCCTAAGTGTGGCAACTATAGATTTATGTGCTTGTCCAACCCTCAGGGGCAGAGCCACAGCCAATTTATGTGTTTAGTACCCAGAGACTACAATTCTGAATGGATTATCTTGGAACTTTCTTATACCCTAAGGACGGCAACTATTGATTTGGGTGCATGATCCCCCCCTCCCCCTTTTCGGCAGTGCCACAACCACTTTTCGTTAATATTTTGTCTGTAAATGATATATAGGGTGCAATTATTAACAGATTTAGATCCAATTTGGAATTGTGTTAGCGATGATCTAGTTTAATTTTTAATAGAAACTTGTCTTTAGTACCACCTGAGAGAGTGAAATGGGGTTTACGGTCCATTCGACACAAACTAGGTCATTTCAGGACTAACACAAGGTTCAATTTTATTTCTGTAATTCGCTTGTGCTTATGGGTCTTTAGCAGTGGGAGGACCCGGTGAAAACCCATGATACAGCACGTTAAAGATTTGACGCATTTCTGCTATGTGCAGAAATTGCGAAATAGCTTTAAGGGGTAACGGCACCACACTTTCACGTAACAAAATTAAACTTCAGCCCTCTATCTCTTATAGTTGCTGAGATATAAGCTCCCCCAATAAAAAAGAATAATAATAATAACCTTAACTCTTTCACCATAATAATCTGAATAATATCTGTTCAATATGAACCCCTAATAATACCCCCAATTAAAAACAGTAATGTTTTGTATTAGTTGCGATGAGTTTTATTGGCAGCTCATATGCAAAATTCATTTATTATTTTCAGGTTTTAACACACAAAGTGGTGTAGTTGTTTTAGCTGCCACAAATAGAGTCGATATACTGGATCCTGCTTTATTACGGCCTGGTCGCTTTGACAGACAAATTTATGTACCTGCTCCTGACATAAAAGGAAGGTATGTATAGGCAGAAAATGGGTAAATGAATGACATCATGTGTATTCTTTATTTTGGTCTTTTTCTCTAAAAAGAATCTAAAAACTGCACCAAACATGTGTACCGGTATCAGCTATTAGCTATTTCTACCAGGGTTTCCACTTCAAAATTTTTGATAACGCACAGAAACTTTGCAAATTCAATTCATATTACATGTTTTTTATTTATAATGTAGTAATAGTAGTATGGTATGGTGAATTCATGTGTCAATTACAATAACTTTGAAATGAAGATAAATATATAATTATCCACAGCATATTTCTCACATTTATCGGTGTTGTAGCATTACTGGATGCAGAATTGTGATGTAAATCCTAATATTGAATAACTAATTCAAATGACATAACTAATTTCACAGCAAGATACAGAGCCCATTTAGAATATGGTAAATCGTGCATAATAATTCGAATATAACATACTAACTTCACAGCTAGTTACAATGCCCATAGAATACAGTAAACTGTGGCTAATCAGAATAAACATATAGACTAAAATTGTGTGCATGTGGATTATCAATATTATAGCTATAAACTAACAATAGAATATGTAATTTTTATATGCCCATGTTTTCATGTGGACGTATATATTGTCACCGTCCCTGTCTGTTCAGACGTTCATCTGTCCACAGTTTGTTTGTGGACACTCTACAGGTCACCACTGTTTGACGAAACTTGAAATATAGTTTTGTCTCCAAAAGATCTTGGTTCCTTTCGATATTTTCATGTAGCTGATCGTGACTTCATGGATTTATGGCTCCTGGTTGTAAGAAAAATTATGTTTTTATACGCCCACATTTTCATGTGAGAAACTTCCAATCAATAGAAACAGGTAACATAAACCAATTAAAGGAGCTAAGTCTTTAACTCAATAGTTTCAATGATATTCGAAATTAAAAACACGAATTAGAATTCAATATTGATTAGTTTCAATCAATATTGTTGTTGTTATCTTGCCAAGAAACTAACTATAAGATCCTTATATATTCAATATTTAAGACAAAATTAACATCAATACACGAGTCGTGTACCCTATGATTCCGGGTGCCATTATGTAATGAACAAATAAAAACATATCCTACAGCACAATGTGTAAGTAATTAGTAAAGGCTGATTCACAAACAGCAAAATAATTATTTAAAAAACATGTAGAATGCACTAAGCAGGCATAAACGACTGCCGTTCAATTTGAACTGTTTGCGTATTTCACCAAACATAATTGATTGGAAATTACAATATTTCTTTTTTCAAAAATTGAGAATAAATGACTTTACATACATTTATATTACATTAAGATGTGCTTTTAGAACCATTTGTGACCCCCCCCCCCCCCATGGCATACTGAGTCGCGGTGAGGAAATTTTAAATATTGAGTTATTTTTATTTTCCCATTCTCCAACTCATTACCTTCAATTTGATGTATAGTTTGTTTGAAACGGGCAAAAATTGACTGAGCTCTGTCCATTCGAAGCTACCCAACTCACAAAAGTAAGTTTTGAGAAAAAGCCAGTCAAAGATTTGGTATGTTCCAAAACAAAATCCCATAGCAACCAGGCCATTTATTTGCTGTTTTGTCGTTGCATATATCTTTCCATGGGTTTTCAGGGGTGCTGAAAACGAAAATTGTATTAAAAATTTGATCCGACGATTTCCGCCATTTATTGCTATTTTGTTGTTTAATATTTTTTTTATTTAGGATTTCAAGGGTGCTGACGACGAAAATCGTAGTAAATGCACTCCTTTTGTGACGAAACATTCATAACACATGCGGCATATTCACATAATAGTGTTATACTGAAGAATAATCTATACATTAGTAGTCTGTTTTGTATATTATAACTTTGGTGAGATTAACAGTTAATCTCATCAATTAATTAGCACCCTAGTGCCAGCTAGTGGTCAGGAGATTAAGATTGTTGATTGGATAATCATCAAAGAAGCCGCCACAGCTGTATGCGTGTTCATTTAACACGTAAATTAAAATATGAGTCCCTATAGAAATGTCAATACTTACGTTCACATTCGTGCATTCTGGCTTTGATGTAATGGCAGATTCGAGAATCGTCGCAATATGTATTATTTAGATTACTGAAACGAAGAAGCCTATTGAATTTCGGCAATTTCTGTTTATTACGTCTAGAGTTATGGCCCTTGTTTCTTTCTGAAATTTATATGCATTATTTAGATTCCTGAAATGAAGAAGCCTATTGAATTTCAGCAATTTCCGTTTATTACGTCTAGAGTTATGGCCCTTCTTTCACTTTGTTCAACCTTGTTAATGCGCGATTGATGAAAGTTATCATCCGATATCATCCGATCTTTCTGAAATTTATATGCTTTATTCATGTTACTGAAACGAAGAAGCCTATTGAATTTCAGCAATTTCCGTTTATTACGTCTAAAGTTATGGCCCTTGTTTCACTTTATTGATCCTTGTGAATGCTCTAACGTCAAAAGTTATCATTCGATCTTTCTGAAAATTATATGCATTATTTAAATTAGTGAGACGAAGAATCCTATTGAATTTCAGCAATTTCCGTTTAGAGTTATGGCCCTTGTTTCACTTTATTGAACCTTGTGAACGTTCTAACTCCAAAAGTTATCATCTGATCTTTCTGAAATTTACATGCATTATTTAAATTGGTGAAACGAAGAAGCCTATTGAATTTCAGCAATTTCCGTTTATTACGTCTAGAGTTATGGCCCTTGTTTCACGTTATTGAACCTTGTGAAACGCTCCAACGCCAAAAGTTATCATTCGATCTTTGTGAAATTTATATGCATTATTTAGATTAGTGAAACAGAGAAGTCTATTGAATTTCAGCAATTTCTGTTTATTACGTCTCAAGTTATCCCCCTTGTTTCACTTTATTGATCCTTGTGAATGCTCTAACTCAAAAAATTATCACCCGATCTTTGTGAAATTTATATGCATGATTTAAATTATTGAAACGATCAAGCCTATTGAATTTCAGCAATTTACAATGATTACTTCAAGAGTTATTGCCCTTCTTTCACTTTGTTAAACCTTGTTAATGCTTGATTGATGATAGTTATCATCCGATATGTATGAAATTTATATGCATCATTTAAATTTGTGAAACAGGTCTATTGAATTTCAGCAATTTCCGTCAATAATTTCTAGAGTTATGGTGATTGTGAACTTTTGGATGACAAAAGTCATCATGTGATCTGTATGAAATTTATATGCATTATTTAAATTAGTAAAACGAAAAAGCCTGTCAAATTTCAACAATTTCTGTAGATTACTTCCAGAGTTGAGACCCTTGTTTCAGTTTGTAGAACCTTGTAAACCCTCAAACGACAAAATTTATAATCTGATCTGTATGGAACTGTCTTGTAAAGGCCCCCAATTAGAGGAATAAATATGCGACAACCCTTGACGACCGCTCGGACGATTTAGCTGCTGTGGGCGTATGTTTTGTTGCCTGGCAACCTATCTTTTCGACCCATGGTGATAAGAGAATTTTAAACCGTATGAAGAAGCGACAGTAAAGTGAATTCATCTATCAATAAAATTCTCTTCGAAAAGAAAATTATTGGCCATTTTTTTTATTTCCATTTAAGGCCTATAAATTATTTTTTTGAAGATGATATGAGATATCAGATAATCACTGCTTGGATTAATTATTTGGAGTAAATAAGGAGTTGTCGACGGCTTTATCATTGACCTGTGACAGTTAATTAGTATTACTCAATGACACCCACCCGCATGTCGATTAATATACATAATCAGCCACGTGGTTTGGATTAACACTCAACGGCAATCTATATACGATCAGAATTCATTTTTTTCTGCCACTTAGCAGAGTGAATCGCATGTAGGTAACCAAAAACATTATTGCCAAAACCAAATATTTATCGCCCGCTCGAGTCAGCCGCGTAACCATAATGCTTTTCACTTGGTGTCTGGGCCAATCAGCAAACGAGTTGTGTAGACAGCATAGCAACACGTGGCGGTGGTTTATATTTTTTAGGGGTTTTAAAACTCGACTGTATGCATTCAAAATCAATTCATCGACATTAATTTGATCATATTTGTAAACTAAGAGATTCTCCGCTTTACAACGATGCCGATTATTATGCAAGAGGAATGACCGGTCGTCCTGCAGCGAGCAAAGAAAAATAACTAATTTCACCTAGAATTTTGATATATGCGGTCACATTTAAGTTAAAATGGGGAATTTGATATTCAGATAAGTTGATATACAATAATTAATAATAATTAATAGAATACAATATCAAAAAAACATTGTTTTATCCAACGTTTTGTCAGTAAAAATACTATCTTCTTCAGGGGTGAAGAACTAAATACATTATCACTAGAAGCAAAGCCCTGTATAGGGAAAGTTACGACAACTCATTTACAGGCGCCATTTTGGGTCCCAACTATGACGTCATAAAAACTATGACGTCGTGGCATCATATAGCTTTACTTAACAAAACATTTTATTTTTTTGTCCCCTGCCTTTCGAAGAAAGCAGGTGACTATTAAAATGGGTTCGTCCGTCCTTCCGTCTGTCTGTCCGAACGTCCATCTGTCTGTTGGTCCTTCCGTCTGTGTGTCTGTCTGTCTGTCCGTCACGCTTTTTGGGACACAATAACTCTCTAATTGAGCTAGAATGTTCAAACTTGGTGTAGGTGTTTATTAGGTCAATGCCTTGATGTAGTTCGAAGATGAGCATTTTCTGCTTAGGGTAAGCAGAGACAAGCAATTTGATTGGTTGATGCTTTGGGACACGATAACTTTAGTTCTAATTAAGTGAGAGTGATGAAACTTGGTGTATAGTTTCATTAAATCATTACCTTGACTAAGTTCGATAATGAGCATTTTCTGCTCAGGGTAAGCAGAGCGATAAGCAATTTGATTGGCTGACACTTTGGAACACAATAACTCTCCTTCTAATTGAGCTAGAATGTTCACACTTGCTTGACGTAGGTGTT